GTCATATAGTTTATCGAAAACCTGATTGGCTAACAAGGCCGTTCTTATTATAATTTTAATTGTCCGGGACAAAAAATGATCGCAGACATGTCCGTAGACGCCCCGTCCCGGACATGTCCGCCGTCCACGTCCATGTCCCATGACAACACTGCCCCCACCTACCCCACCTGATATCCAATCAACCAATCAGATTTCACGTTTATTAAAACTTATAATTAAAATTATAAAAGTAAGTTGGTTGTATAATATAATATAAGTAAAAAGTAGTAAAAGATTTTGTTAAATATTAAAATTCATAGTGATAATATTATTTAAATTAGAGTTTGTTGTTTAGTAAGTAAAAGTATATAAAGATTACTATTATAAAAATAAGAAATATTTGTTAGAAATATTGTATTCAATAAGAAATAAAGAATTTAAAGTCTTTTAGTATTGAGTTTAATAAAAAGTAGCAAGTTTATTCAGTAAAGAATAAAGAATCAGATATATCTGATATTTTGAATTGTATAGTTGTATAGAGCTTTTTTTATATGTTCAGAGCTTTTTACTATATAAATAAAAATATTTTACCTATCATCATAAAATTTTAAAAATTTAAATTAATTATTTCAAATTAACTTACAATAACCCACAAAACTTATTTTACAAAATTGTATAATACTATTTCAAATTGATTACAAAAAATCACAAAATTTATATTATTTCACTACAAAATTTATATCATTTTGCTACAAAAAATTATTGTTATGTAGAAAAAATAAAAAGTTTTTCTTGTGAAATTTTTCTAACTGTATTTTAAGCAAATTTTTTAGTGAAATTTTTAGATAGTAACTAAATTATACATGCTATACAAAATAGATTTGAAAAAACTCTATTTCATCTTTATTAAAGCAAATTAGAATTTTTTATATACAAAAATATAGAATTTCAATCCGGATAAATTTGTCATCCATTTATCCATGTCTGAATTTATCTGGATATTTATTTACTATTGAAATCTGGATAATCTGAAAAATATTCAGATAATTATCTGGATATCAATAGTAAAACAGATATCCGAATAAATTCAGATCTGAATATCTAATAAATAAATGGATAAATGGATAATGGATAGAAACTCTACAAAAACAAATTTTATTTAGATAGTTATATTTCTTATAATTTTATATTTTTAAAAAAAGTGTTAAAAAATTACATCTTTTAAGTAAAATACTGTAGATCAAAAACAATTTTGTCTTCAAATTTTAATTTTAGAATAAACTAGATCAGTTAATATATATTAAAAGTTAAATTTTAACCAAAATTATATTTTGTAATATTTTTATATAGCAGCTTAGTTCAATTTTCTAACAGTTGTTTTTTTTATTTAGCTAGATGCTAAGAAAAAAAACAAAATTGATAAAAAAAAGATGGTGAAAAATTAATTTTCATATTATAAATTTAAATTTTACTAATTATAACTGGTGGTAATCATTATCGGTATGTAATTAGCCAATAAATTTGCAAAATCAGATATAATATACAAATTAGTTTGTGTAATAAAAATAAAGATTTTTTTTAAAATATATCAATATCTCAAGAATTTGTCTATAAAACTACTTTTAATATACTAGTAAAAAAATTTTTTTGCTAAATTTTTATATATCTAACATCTTGCTAAAATCACAGGCCTTACTCTAACTCTAAAATAAATGAAATAAAAATCTTTTTTATTTTATCATTGTTGCTAATTACACACCAGTAATGATTACTACTAGTTATTTGTAGTTAAATTCTATAAATTTTATATATACTTTTTATTTACTAGTTAGTTTTTGATGATTTTATTGCATCTTGATAAAATAATTCTATTGAATCCAAAATTATTAAATTTAAATCATGGGATAGATATTCTATAGAATAGGTGGGCAATATAAGAAATAAGCTTTGCTAATAATTAGTAATTACTAATTTTTTAATATCAGAGTTGCGAAGCTGGCAGAGTTTGCCCACCTATTTATAGAACATCCCATGAGATTCTAAGATAATTAAAAAATACAGTATACTTACTTTGGATAAGATAAGATGTATTAAACCCATCCTATTTTATCTGATACAATTAATTTTATCTTTGAATCTAAGGATAAATCAGTCTGATCCAGTTTGTTTGGTCCTAATAAAACTGATTTATTAATGTTTTTTGGTCTGATCTTAAGTCCTGATCTCTAACTATCCTATTGGCTAGTAGAGAGAATTAAATTATATAACTTCAGTAATTGAAATATAAAATAATTTTTTAGTATTTTTTTAATTAGCTACAGTCAGACTTTTCTAAATGCATAATGTTAAGACCATAGCAAAAAATTGCATTTAAAGAGGTTATGTATTTAGGAAGTAAAAATCTATAAGTGTTATATTAGTTGGGCCCAAGAAAAGACATGCATTCAGAGAGGTTTTTCATATATATGTATTTAGAAAGGTTGCATTTAGGGAGGTCCGACTGTATTTATGAAGACCGGTCCGAACTGGTCTCAGGACCGGGGACCGGTTAATCATGAGACCGGTTAAAAAGACCGATTCTTACTCGGTCTTTCCAGGACTGATCCATTCTTATCTGGATCCCATGATTAGATTTTATCTCGTTAGAATCGTCTCGTCGAGACGCACATTTTGGTGGTAAAATCATCAAAAAACTGACCAGTGAATAAAATGTTATTCACCGTCAAATTTTTAATAGTAATGACGCAAATCCGACCATATGAATAAATCATAAACTTTAAAGAGCTATACTGCAAAATTTTATTAATACAACTACTTTTAAGTAAAAAATGATCCTAATCTTATTTTAAGTTGATCTATGTAAAAAAATTTCTTTTGAAAAAATTGTCAATTTCCCAACACCTAGCCTTCATTTATAATGTCGCATAAGAGATAATATAATAAAGGATGCAACGACTATCAAGAAAAAAATCATCAACACAGTTACTTGAAATTACTTTATACAATGATTCATTAGAATATATATTTATTAATTGAAAAAATAAAAGGATGCAACAACTACCAAGAAACAAATTATCAACACAGTTACTTGAAATTACTTTATACAATGATTCATTAAAAAATATATTTATTAATTGAAAAAATAAAGACTTTTTTTTACTGATTCTATATCAAAAGTTCCTCGTTTCGGTAATTCCGGAAACGTTAAATCTACCCATGTGTGCACATACATCGAAGGTTGTCTTGTTTTCTTTAATTTTAGTTCTCCTTCCTCTGAATCTAATTTTATATCTTCTGGTTGGGATTTCTGTGCCATTTTAATCAAATCATCCAAACTTATGGTATCTTCGTATCCATTATCCACTACTACTACTGGTGATATTTTCTTAGAATTGTCCGATTTAAGTTTCGCAATCTTTTCTAATTTTAACCTTTCTAAATCTTTTCTTAACACTTTAATTGGAACTTTATATCCTTTATAACGTTCAATAAATTCATTTCGAAGATTTTCCATTATTGGTTGACTGTGAAGTCGAAAAAATTGTTCGCGTATAACACTATTCATAGTCTCTACATCACATGCATGCGACCAATAACTATCATGTACAGAGGCGAATGTCAATCCTTTTTCTTTGCACGCAAGAGCAGTCATAAGCATATGAGTAGCATCAAGTGAATGAATAAAATTTGGTGGGAATGCTGCTCGTTGTTTCATGCTATTTACTGGACTAGGTGTTTCAGAATCTATAATATTAATGGATTGCAGATAGGTTTTGACTTGCCTCTTGTTCGGTCTTCGATAAGGCTGAACTATTGGCAAATCTAGTGGAGTCGTCCAAACCACTGCAGTCATTTGATCTGATGCTGATTTATTAGGCTGAATTTTAACTATGGATTTCTTTAAAGGGTTTATATAATCTTCAACTTCTAATTCAGATAAATTATCATTTTCATTTTTAATCTCTTCAGCGGATTTTAACACGCGCTCGGGCGGCAAGCTTTTAGCAATCCACTTAGCACTTTCGCTTAACCACTCTTGAATTGCTCTTGCTCCTTTAAACATTTCTCCTAAGCTATTAAACACACATTTTGCAACATAATGTGATAATTCATGAAGTCGATCTTGTGGTATGCTTTCAATTTCTTTGAGCCGAGCTTCAATTTGCAATCGAGCTCCAATAAATGTCACACCGTACACGGTTGTCATTACAGTCTGTTTAACAACTTTACGAGAAATGTGATCAAGTAATATTAAAGCTTTTTCATCACCATTCTCTGCATCAATTCTGATCAATTCTTTTACCCTTTTAGCAACTGCTGTATATATATCCGACGGTGAATCAGATGGAGCTAGATTGACTTGAGACGCACCCTCCAGGTCACCACCAAGAGCGGCGTAATGTTGTAATCCATTGCAAGTACCATCCTGATGTACCGGAATATGTGACAAATAATTTTCTGGCGATGGTGAGCGTATTGCATCAGTTAATTCAAAGCATGCTGCTAAGCATTGCCATGGATCTTCAGCTTTTTGCCACCATCGTTTGCCTTTCAAAGGATAATCTGCAGAATCCATTATTTCGGCAATATTTTCGTTAGCAAATGCTTCTCTTTCATTAAATGAAACTTTGTCATTTCCATATAAATTTGCCAAATGAATTTTAAGCCATCTTAAACCAGTTTTGCCTAATGGTCTTGCATCTTTGAAGACTAATAAACCGCGACATAAGTCATCACCCATGTGATTCAAATGTGACGGAATCGGATATGCACGACCACGAAAATCCAGACTATGAGGAAAGTACATTGGTTCGTCAAGATACTAATCAATAAACATGGATTACGAAATAAATAATTTTTTTGTAAATAATAATAATAATAAATACATAAGGTAAAATAAAATAACAAAATAAAACTCACAGCGCCAGCAATTTCCACCTTATAATTTACCATACATCTTAAAGAATGATTATTTCGTATTTTATTGTTAATATCCCTGCATGTTCTAATCCAACGAACTTTCGATTTCACGTTACTATCGAAATCTTCAGGTTTTTTAGGGATTTCTGGATTTAAATCGGCAGGTGGAATGTCAAGAACACCTTCACCGCTATTCCAAAATTTCAGAACAACTTCGTATACCCTCTTATTCACAGCCCAACATGTAGAACCAAGGACATCCAAGCCAGCAAAAACATGTTCCAGATGTGAGCTGTCAGAAGCTTTTTTCAGATATGCAACTTGTTCAGGACAATCTTTTATCCTCATGGCAAGAGCTAATAAATGACGATTTCAAAAAAAGATTTATATGTACATGAAAAAATAGGCATCGTAAAGCATTTTAGAATAATATTAAATATCTCATACTTGGAGATGTCAGATAACCACCACTATTGAAAGTCAACCAAGGCTTTGGAATAATCAACATTGGCAACATGCGAGGATGTAAATGATCTCTAACGGACTCATTAGAAAGCCACTTTATCAATTGAGGATTGAGTTTGATAACCCCAACTTTTTTACCTCTATTATATTCATAAGAATGAAAAAATGCAGGAGCCTCTTCGCTTCTATAATCAACCGGTAAATGATAAAAGCATCAATAATGAGTGCATAATTTTAAGAATCTGCTAGTTAATAATAATTTAATTCTCACATTATTTTACCAGCTGCATTAGTAGTCGAGACGGTAATCTGAGCAATTTTAATCAGGCTAGCAGCCAAGAAGGAGCCAACCTAAACGAGTAATATCAATAATAGGTCATAAATAATATCATTGTTGATATTTAACATATTTGGCCACGATGCCCACCTTAACTCTTATTGTCGATCCCCAATCTGGTTTCCATGATGTTTCAATATCTTCTTTTTCTAATTTTCTCGCAAAACGGCGAATTTCCATATTAAATAATTTTCCAGATGCAAAAAGTTCATGAATATTTAAATCTTTGTAAAGCTTTAATAATCATAGAAACTTGGTTAATATTCAATAGATATATTTATATATATATGGGCTAGGTGCTGAGAAAAGGGATCAATTGACAATTTTTCAAAAGTTTTTCTTAAGCCAAAATTAGCAGGAACATTTTTTTACTTAAGGAACTAATGTTATTATCTTAATAAAATTTTGTAGTATAGCTCTTTTATAATTTATTATAGAATATATATAAAAATCTACCGAAAAACCTTTTTTTTTTATTATTAATTTGGTACTTTTCTCAGCACCAAGCCCATATGTATGCAAATAGTTTAAAGTATGTTAAAATATTAATACCAATTTACGATTCTGCTTTTTTTTTAATTGTTCTGCGTTGTATTCACTTTCCACAGATTTACCAATAGCCATAATAGCAGCAGTTGTCGTCATTCCTTCTATAACTTCACTATCACTAGTTTGACGTAGCATTTCCAATATCGTAATGGCAGATAATTTATCCGGACTTAACAATCGCAAGAATGTTCCAGTTTGTGAATCAATGCATTCACTACCTTAAAACATCGCGAACTAAATTTAAAATAAATATAATACGAGTTCCGAATTAAAAATTAGCCGACAAACGTACCTTCATCAATGTTCTTTTCTATGCTTTTTTTCAATTCCATTTCGATCAAAGGGACAAGTTTTTCATGCCAAGCCCACATGGCCTTCCTCAATGAAGGGATTCCAGCAAAAGTATCACCACGTTTACGCATTTGTTCATAATCATGTTTCCAGCGCTCAATAGCACCATGTAAAGCATTTTCCTCTAGTTTAGTTTGGCGATTATATTGATCCGGCCCTTTCTCTTTTAGAGCTTCAAGAGAACTTTTCATAAGTTTAACACCAAATGCCT